ACCAGAACAGGAAACACTACAAGATTAGGGGAACCCATATTACTTAATATTGTCGCTTTTGAATGAGCAGAATGTGTCAATTCAACAGGGGTCTCTATTGATTTCCTTCCAATATCCAACTGTTAGAGGAACATTGTCTCCCCATTGAGAGCTGTAAGCAATAACATCCCAGACTCCCTCTGCCTTTCGCCCTCCTCTGCTAACTGCTGCCTGAGGAATCCTCACAGGCCCTGAACCCAGGGGGACAGTAAACTGGAGAATGAGGTGGTGATGGAGACTAGAAACCTGACCATTCAGTGACCTTTTTATATGGAGGTGGAGGATCACAGTAGCTAACTTGGGAGGATGAGTTATATCTGCTGAGTGCCTTCTTTGAAGGGCAGAGCATCCTTATCTCCCAGCAACATCAGTGGGAGTTTGAGAACACTCAGCAACTCATAGGATTGGGCAATACAAATACAAAGGCTTTGGGTGACTAAAGTTAAGCACTAAAATCTGCAGTTATGCCTAAATACCCATTATAGCCACCTGCAGAGGTGCTGATTAGGGCACCTAAATCTCTATCAACATTGTGGTGTTTAAAATAGATATTTGAAAAACAAGGGGAATGATGTTTAAAGGCATATTTGTCAGACAACTTTATGCCAGGTGACTGAATTTTCCAAACCTGGGTACCTAAACTTAGACTCCTAACAATCACATGTAGGTGCATAAATAGGGGTGGGGTTAGTTGTAAACTCACCTTTTTGCTGCCCTATGTTGCAGTGGAGCAGGGCAAAGTAGCCACAAAGCTGCCCTAAGAGGCAGCTAGGAATTCCCCAGCATGTGCAAATCCCTAACACACAGAGAACTAGCAGATATAGCGTAGAGCCGGCATAGCTGGCTGTAGGTCACCAACTCCTAGCTTCCCACCCAAGTATATGGGGTGTGAGCTGGAAACAGAAGATGGCACGGGAGCAGCACTACGACTCACCCCTGCGGCGCCTCCTGCTGGTCGTCCGGGAATTAGCTCTTTCCAGCACGGAGCACCCTCTGCCGGCCGGTGTCTCACTGTCCCCTGGCCCCCTGGTCCTCCCGGACCCTGGTGCCTTTTTATCTGGGGTGCTGCCCCCTGGCAATACCCCCCACACCCTGCCTCTGGGTCTCCCCTCTCCGGGGAACCCACAACCCTCCAATCCCCACCTTGCCTCAGTCTGTGCTACTGCCAGTCACCATCAAGCCCCCACTCCCTGGGGCAGGCTGCAGTGTAAAAGCCACTCATCATAGGCCAGGGGGGTTTGGACCAGCTGCCTTCCTCTACCACCCACTACCTCTGTGGGCCTAGGACCAGGCCCTGCAGCCTGGGGAGTTGCCAGCCTGGAGCTCCTCTGGCCTTTCCCCAGCCCGGCTTCACTCCCACTCCCCTTTCTGCAGACAGCCAGGCCCTACGCCCTACAAGCCTGGACAGAGCCTTTCTGAGCGCCTGGCTCCCAGCCTTTTCATACAGGCCAGCTGTGGCCTGGTTGGGGCATGGCCGCCTCTGTGGCTCTTTCCCCAGTCAGCCGAGGCTCGCTGCTCTCCTAGCAGCAGCAGCCCTCTGGCACGCTGAGCCCTCTCCCAGGGCCGATTTCAAGCCCTTCAGGGCAGGAGCCGGTGACCAGCCCACTACAGGCACACACAGTGTGCGCTGTGCTACCGCAGGGTTTGGCAACGTTTGGCACGCAGCCCCCCAGGGTAAGCCCCTGGCGGGCCAGGCCAGTTTGTTTACGCGCCGCGTCCGCAGGTTCGGCCCATGGCGGCTCCCACCGGCCGTGGTTCCCCGCTGTAGGCCAATGGGGGCTGTGGGAAGCGGCGCGGGGCGAGGGATGTGCTGGCCACGGCTTCCTGCAGCCCCCATTGGCCTGCAGTGCGGAACCGTGGCCAGTGAGATCCGCGATCGGCCAAACCTGCGGACGCGGCAGATAAACAAACTGGCCCGGCCCACCAGGGGGCTTACCCTGGGGGGCTGCATGCCAAACGTTGCCGACCCCGGTGCTACAGCAATCTCCCGTACAGCAATCGCTGTTACAAGACAGCGTAATTTAGAACAACCCAGAGTCTAAAGCTCAGGTGTATTTGAGGATCTGGGCCAGTACTTGGCTGTTTCTATAGTAATGACCCCTGAGCAAGCAGTGTAATATACATGCTTATCACTGAGCTTGTCCAGAGGCTGCACGTCCATCAGAATGACTAGATGTCCTGATGTGTAATAAAAACACCTGGAGTCATAAAAAAATCACCCCGGCCTACTTTACAGGGCCTGATCCATCTCTCCCTTACAGCATCTGAGCAGTAGGAGAATGGCTAATATGGGCCAGTATTATGGTTGCTGTATTCTATTTATAAAAGTATAATACTGGCCAGTATTATAGTTGCTGTATTGTTTTATAAAACAACAAAAAAAATAGAAAAATAAAAAATACAAATGAATGTTTTTAATTAATTTGGGGGAAAGAATTTACAGCACAGTACAAGAATTTAAAACATTTAAAACATTCCTTTCTTTCTCTCTATTATTTTTTTTTTTTTTTTTCCATTTTGGGGGGGGGGGGGGGGGGAGAAAAGGCCCCCCCCCCAAAAAAAAAAAAACCCCCCCCCCCCCCCCCCAGCCCCCCCCCAACACAGGCGGCGGGCCCCCCCCCCCCGGGGGGGTGGGTCCCGCGCCACCCCACAAAGTGTTCACTGCGACTTTGGACAACACCGATGTTACAAGAATCAGTCGTTCACAGGTCAACAAGCAGTTCTTTCATCTCCCCCAGTTTTCTTAAGCCTGACCGTTACGCAGGGGCCCCTCGCCAGCGGCAGTGACTCTTGCTGGTGGCCACTCTGACACTTGTTCCTAAAATACTAAATTAACTTTAAGAAAAAAATAAACAAATACGCACATACACACACGTCCAAATTAGTGTAATTTATTTACGTAGGGTTTGGGGTTTTTTTGCAGACTGAATAATAAAAATAAAGTACAGTTTTCTCTATTCTTTACTGGCCCTAAACAGAATAGAAACGCAAACAAACGTGCTTTGCATGTTCTTGTCTTTTTTGTTGTAGTTTCTTTTGCTTTTTTGGTTGCTTTGGTTATTTTTAGCCTTGTGAGCTAGTAAATCTGCTGCCGTGAAAAGTGATACTTGTATGTTAAATATCACTTTTCACAGCCTCCCAGCTAGCTACTAAGTCTGCTGTGAAAAGTGACATTACCAAACATACAAATATCACTTTTCACAGCAGTTACACAGCCCTGGCAAGCCCGGAGACAAATTAAACCCTGTATGGGGAGGTGGATATGGAGGCAGTGGGGGCCCGGGGCACTGGGGGGAATGAATAGAGAGCTGGTGGAGGCAATGTGGGACTGTGGGGGTGGGAGTGGCAGCAGGGGCCAGAGTTGATGGTGGAGAGGGGGGAGCTGGGGGCCTGCACCCGCTGCTGCATGGTCAGGAGCCAGAGCCAGAGAGCCCAAAAACCCGGGGCTGGAGGACGCAGAGTGGGCTTGGGCAAAGGGGGGTTGGTGAGCCTGGGGCTGGCACTTGCTGCCTCACAGCTGGGGACCAGAGCCAGAAGACCCTGTGGCCAGATCCTGGGGCCTGAAGCCCTGTGGCCAAGGAATGGAGCACGCGGTTGAAGTCTGGGGCTCGAGGAGGCAGTGGGGACTGGGGAGATGGCGGGGGGGGGGGGGGGGGCTGGGGCTGGAGCCTGCCGCCACGTGGCCGGTGGACAGAACCCAAAGCTCAGTGGCCAGATTCCAGGGCCAGATCCTGAAACCCCGAGGCCAGATCCCAAAGCCTCGTGGCCTCGACCCTGCAGCAGGGGCCTTGGACTTCACCATGGCTCCGGAACCAACTTAGAAATATCATGAAACCAACTGTCCCGCAGCTCCAGGTCCATCTGCCCCAGCGGCCACATATGGCCCCCTGCTCGCTCTCTCAACCATTGTTTGTCTCTTTGAGCCATGAGTTCCCTGTGGGAGGGAGTGGGTCCCTGCTGGGTCTGCAGCCAGCCCTCCCGGGCACGGTCTGGCGATACACACACACAATGGGGAATTGTACATGTGCGTGAGTAACAAAGGCTTCCCTGCCCCAACTCCCGCAGGTGACTGCAGGCAGCAGGTTGCGATTGCTGGGCAGCTGCCCCCTGGATCGCTGCCCCACCCCAAAGCCACCTGCAGCAGAGTGAGAAATGGCCTTTGCCACCGCTCACCTGGGGCACTGGGGGCCCCTCAGGAAGATCGGCCAGAGCACTGAGCCACGTGCCTGCAGGCCTCTCAGCTGTTCATGCCCCAGGCCAGGCAGGTGGATTGATGAGTGCAGGAGTGGGGGGAGCAGGACAGAGCAGGAGGAAAGATGCCTACCCTCCGGGGAAGAGGAGTGAGAGACAGACCAGACCCTCAGCTACAGACAGCAGCATCGGTGCACAGGTGGGCTGATCCACTAACAAGCCCATAGCATTTAGGGTTATTGACCACGTGTTCTTAGATGCCCCACCATAAGTATGTGGCACTTCACCCCCCAACTGCATTTACCCTCATCCCCTGTGGGCAGGGCCATTAGCCCCATTGCACTGATGGGAGTTGAGGGCCAGAGGCTGAGTGACTTTCCCAAGGCCACTCAGGGAGCCTGTGGCAGAGCGGGGAATTGAACATGGGTCTCCCACATCCTAGACTAGTGGCCAGACAGCTTGGCACCCTGCCTCTGGCCAGTGGAGGCAGGGAACGCAGGCCAAGGGGTCGCCCAGGCTGTGAGTGGGCAGCGCCGGGAGCCAGGCTGCTTGGCTCCATTTCTAGCTCTGACATTGAGCCACCAGGTGGCCGTGGGCATCCAGCGGGGCTGGGGAGAGGCACTTGTCACCCTGCCTCCCAGGGGCAGGTGGGGGAGGGCTAAGCAGCTGGTGTCTGAAAGGAGCCTGCAGCACCTGAGGGGCCCCATGCCCGGACCCCACAGCGCCTCCTTTGGTACAGAGGGCTGGTCTAGATTAGAGGAGAGAGCTGGCCCCACCATGATCCCCACCTGGTCCTCCACTCGGCAGGCCCCTGAGCTGTGCGGAGCAGGCTGGATCCCCGCAGCGGGCGGGAGCGCACGGCCCTAGGAGCGCGGTGCGGGGGGCCGGCCCTCACGGCTGGGCCCCAGCGGCTCCAGGTGCAGCCACAGCCCGTTCTGGCTGCGCAGGATCAGCTCGGGCTTGCGCCGCACGGGCCTGCTCTGGTCCAGCCGCAGGGCGAAGGCAGCAGGGTCAGCACCAGCACCACCTTCATCTCTGCCACGGCGAAGTTCTGCCCGATGCAGTTCCTGCGAGAAAGCCAGGGGTGTCAGCCGGTGCTCTTCGCCTGGAAGCCACACCCCCTGTGAGGGCAGGGATGGGGGAGCAGGGACAGACAGATGCTGGGGGGAGCCCACCCCCCTGTGGGAGAAGGGACAGATCCTCAGCAATAACAGCTGGCCCCAGCACTGACCAGAGGCCACCTCCTGCCTGTCCCACAATGCTTCACTGCAGCCAGGGAGCCGCTTGCTGGTGGGCAGCCGGGGGTGGGGGAGGGGGCAGTTCGTGCGGCGAGGGGCTCTGAGCCCGGCAGGCAGGTTACCTGGGTCCAGCAGAGAAGGGCATGAAGGCCAGTGGGGGCTGGTTCTTGGAGTTCTCTGGGTCGAAGCGGTGTGGGTTATAGACCTGGAGCAGCAAGCACAAGGCACGGTGAGGGGAGCGAGGGCGAAGGGTGGGGTGTGGGGCTGGTCCCTGAGCCAAGGGGGAGCAAAGGCAGCCCCTCCCCGGGTGCAGCTTGGGCACCAGGCTCCCCAAGAGTGAGCTTCTGACTGGGGCCATGCGCTGGCAGCGGGGATGGTTCTGCCTCCACCCAGCACTCAGTGACCCATCCCCACCCAGTGTGAATGGGGGTGCGACCCTCACTCCCCTCTAGGCGAGCTGGGGGGGGGGAGGAGGAGCTTCCTCTCTGGGGAAGGTCACTGGGCATAGGAAGCTGCTACTTTGATGGCGCTTCAGCACCCCCTGGTGCCACGCTGGGGCATTGGGTCAGCAATGACTCCGAGGGGACAGTGCCCCTACCGAGCCCCGCAATCCCACTCTCTGCAGCACAGCGCCCCCTGGTGGCTGGGGATTGGGTAGAATGACCGAGGGGAAGTGCCACCGAGGAAATCTGAGAAGGCCCTGGTGCCACCTGGACATTGGGTCAGAATGACTCCGAGGGGAAGTGCCCCTACCGAGTCCGAATCCCACTCTTGAGCACAGGCCCTGGTGCACGCTGGGGATTGGGTAGAATGATCGAGGGGAAGTGCCCTACGAGCGAATCCCACTCTCTGAAATGGTGCCACGCTGGAGGTGGCCGTGGGGTGGAGTAGAGCCAAAGGGGCAGAACAGAGTGACCAGTGGTACCTGGGGCTCCGGCCTGACAGCAGGATTGTGATGCGTCCCATAGATACTGATCAGACAGACGTTCCCTGCCAGAGAGGAAACTGCCTCATTAGAGAGAGGAAAGGGAGAAGGAGGGGAGGGGTTGTGCACCACAGGGGTTATGGGCCCAGTTCCGGTGCCATGCCCCTGGCTGGGGGGCAGGGAAGAAGGCTGGTACCTTTGGGTAGGACACGTCCGTCGGGCAGTTTGATGTCCTCGGTGCAGCGCCGGGACACGGCCGTGACGGGCGGGTGCAGACGCAGACTCTCCTTGATGCACATGGTGGAGAAGGGCACCTGGGACAGGTCCTCCCTGCAGAGAGCAGAGCTTAGCGCTGGCCCCAGAGGTGGATGCATGGGGGGCCCAGTGTGAGCCCATGAGCCAGGCAATGGGGCTGGGACAGACTCGCATAGGCATGGAGCTGGCACTGAGGGGACAAACAACACCGTGACGAGGGGGGGGGGGGGAGCATGCACATCTGAGTGGCAGGGTCCTTGGGCATCCAGGGGGGACATGCAAAACCCAGAGCAGCAGGGCCCTCGGGCACTGGGGAGCAGCCTAGGGCCATCTTGCAGGGGAAGCCCTCCAGCTTGTGGGGCTGGCAGAGGTGAAGGGACCCCAGTGCTAGGCATAGACTGGTGGGGAGGGGAGGGGAGGGCAGCGGCTGGGCTAACCCTCACAGGTGGGGTGGGGGCTGTGCTGGAACTACAGGGCGTGGAAGTGGGGGTGCTGGGGGTCAGCACTGCAGCTGAAGCAGCCATCTCACCATTCAACCTCCTCCGACTCCTTGTCCCGCAGTAAGTCCTTGATCTCCTCCCGGCAGCGCTCCTGGTACTCGGGGTGACAGGCCAGGTTATACAGCACCCAGGAGAGGCCGCTGGCTGTGGTGTCGTGGCCTGCAGAGAGAGGCCAGCGCAGCGTGAGAGCCGCCGGGGGCAGAGAGGGACCGTGGAGAGTCCGGGGCTGGCACCTCCTCCGGGGCCTTGCTCCCCATGACTCTCTGGCAGTGCCAGCTGGGAACTCCAGGCCCCTCGTGCCTGCGGGGCAAATGGGGTGACTCTGAGCATCTGTCTCCACTACCACCACCTCCTCCGTTGCTGGGACTGTCTGGCAGTGCCCAGGGGCAGATCTGTCTTAGCCCCATTTCACGGAAAGGCACACCCAGCTCACTCAGAGCCAGGGACTGAACCCAGCTCTCCTGCCCTCCCCCCAGAGCCATGTCATCCGCAGAGACCCCATCCTCCCACATGAGGCTGTGAGGTCAGCAGGCGAGCCCCCCCACCTCCTCTCCAGGGGGGCTCCTCACCCTCAAACATGAAGGTGTCGGCCTCAGCTGCGATGTCCTCGTCTGACAGGTCCTGGCCGTCCTCATCCTGCACAAAGCACACACTGCTGGACGGGTAACCTGGCTCCCCGTGACTCAGGGACCCCAGCCCCACCGGCCCACGCCTCCCCCACTTCAGAGCCTGGGAGGATGGGACATCTTGGGGTGGAGTGAGCTTGGCCATCTCCCCTCCACCCAGCCCGGGGAAAGAGGCAGTCCCTGCCCTGCCCCACAGCCCCAGGCCCCAAGGTGGGCTCCCCCTTCCCCCATGCCCAGCCTGGCTCTGGTGTTAGAGCTCCCCAGAGGTGCCAGCCCCATGTCGCCAAGTGCAGTTCATATCGCTCCACGCTGAGCATGCTGGGAAGGCAGCTCTGGCTGGGCCGCCCCAGAGAGCTGGGCCGGGGGGCAAGTCCCGGTGTGACAGACATCACACAGCACCTTCCACCTGGCTCCCCAGGACTCTCTGGCAGTGCCAAATGGGAACTCCAGGCCCTGCCCTGGACGTCAACGAACCCCCACACTCCCGAGGGCAGGATCTCCCACTGTGTCCCCTTGGCCAATTGCAGGACATCCGTGACCTCCGCCCACCCCCACGGGGCAGGCCCCCCATGTCCCCTTGGCCAATCGCAGGACATCCGTGACCTCCGCCCACCCCCACGGGGCAGGCCCCCCCACCACGTTACCTTGGCCAGGAGCAGGATGTCAATGAAGTCCACCGTCCTGCCCTGCTTGGATTTGAGCCAGGCCTCCCTGCCCCGGTGGCTCAGGGCCTGGTGGCGCCGCTGCACCACGTCGGCCGTGAAGCGGTGCACGGTGTCGCAGGCGCGCCGGAAGCGCCGCCCGTCGGGTGACAGGCGGTACAGGAAGTCGCAGTGCAGGAGCAGGCGGTGCTGGCGTCCCACCACCAGGGAGCTGAGTTCCAGGATGGCTGCGATGTAGTCACTGGGTGTCCTGCAACACAACAGGCCAGCATGTGCCTGACAGGCCGGGGCGGGGGCCCCCTGATCAGAGCTGGGGGATCCCGGCGGGCTGGGCCTCGCCACAGAGCGATGGCGTGATCTCCCAGCCACGGGATCTCCGGGCCGGCCGGCGGGGAAGGGACCAAGCTTGGGTGCCTCTGGCTGCTGCTGCGGCTCAGCCAGTGTGGGACGGTGACAAATGACCAGAAAGGGTTAAGCATCCTGCAGGACAAATGACTCAGATTCAACCCTTAAAAACATACGGGGAGATCACGTTTGTGGTTTTGGGTATTTACGTACATACTAGCAGAGGTCAACAATGTAATCAAACAGTCCCTGTCCATGCTGTATTCGGTTAATTCAGAGATCAAAAGAACATCAATGAACTGTAAACGCAGGATATCGTCGCTGTATTCCTCTCTCTTTGAAATGTACAGCCAATCATCTGCGACTGGTGGAAAAACCGGCAACTGCCTTGTGTTACTTCGTGTAGCTAATTACCGGTGATGGACCTACTTCAGAGTCGCCCCGATTGCCTATTGTTGGTCTAAGGACTCCAACCTGTCAAAGAAGGCCTGGAGTTGTATAAAAAGACCCTTGGGTCCTGATCCTGTTTATCTCAGATCTGCTTGAGGCTTCATGCAGGGGAAGCCTAAGCCACAAGGACTGAGATCCCAGTTCTGACTGGACCGCCCTGAATATAAACACTGGACTATAACCAATGGACTATTTCTGAAAGAACTCTTTGCCTCTGCAAAGCTCTCCATCTCGGCTATAAATCTGAACCTCAAGAATTATACTCATGTCTGTATGTGCACCAGTGCAGTAAAACAGGTGCAAGCTGCCGACGAGGGCCCTGCAGTACACGTATAAACTGGGGGCAGGAGGGTTCTGGGGTGATGGGACTGAGGTGAGGAGCTTCCTGGCAGCGAGAGGCATGCAACAGCAGGATCATCCCCCAAGAGTCACAGCACAGCCATGCCGACCCCACAGGCGTTAGCAGACAGACCTGCGAGTGCAAGCACCAAGCACCAGCCTCCGCGCAGTGAGCTGCAGGAGCTCCACCCCCAGTGCTGACCCGGGGCCTGGCGCTATAGAACCCCCCAACGCCTCCAGACACCCCACTGGAGAGCCCCTGCCCAGGCCTGCAGTAACACCCTCCCCGCCCTGGGATCTCCAGTTCAGGGACCCATTCCGTGAATCCGGCCAGGCTCACTGGGGCCAGGCCAGGAAGGGAGGGAGGGACCCTGCAGCCCATTCGCCCCACTCTGACCTCCCCCAGTGAGGGGGCTCCCACCCTCGGGTCAGCGCGGGGCCCTGCTGGGGGAGCTGCCCCCGCGTCACTCACTCCTGGCAGTTGCCGTTGCAGCCGAAGACGCATTTCTGCAAACTGTCCAGGGTCATGAGGCTGATCTGACCAGACATGTCCAGGGAGGTGGATCCTGACGCCACCAGCCGGCGCCACTTGGCCTGTGGGGGAACAGCAGCCCCCGAGCAGCTGCCTGCAGGGACGGCACTGCGGAGCCCAGTGCCCATGCAATGCGGGTGGGCCAGCGTCAGAGACAGGCAAGCAGACAGGGGAGGAGGCTAGTGGACTGGTGCAGTGCCAGGGCTGGGCATGTGGTGGGGGCAGGTGAAAGAGCAGTGGGCAGGCGGGTGGGTGGGCAGGGTATCGGTGCAGTATATGCCCGGGGGGCGGTGCAGGGCCAGAAGCACTGCGTAGTGATGGTACAGCATATTGCATAGGGTGTGGGGGAGGCATGGGGAGGGCAGGCTGCTGGTTCCACATATGCCAAGGGAGGAAGGCACTAGTGCAGCGTGTGCCATGGGGGGAGGGTCACGGGCAGGCTGGGGGTGGCAGGGTGCCAGGGCAGCGTGTGCCATGGGGGGGAGGGTCCCGGGCAGGCTGGCGGGTGCCAGGGCAGTGTGTGCCATGGGGGGAGGGTCCCGGGCAGGCTGGCGGGTGCCAGGGCAGCGTGTGCCATGGGGGGGGGGGGGAGGGTCCCGGGCAGGCTGGCAGGTGCCAGGGCAGCGTGTGCCGTGGGGGAGGGTCCGGCAGGCAGGCGGGTGCCAGGGAGGTGTGCCATGGGGGAGGGTCCGGGCAGGCTGGCGGGTGCCAGGGCAGCGTGTGCCATGGGGGAGGGTCCCGGGCAGGCTGGCGGGTGCCAGGGCAGCGTGTGCCGTGGGGGAGGGTCCCGGGCAGGCTGGCGGGTGCCAGGGCAGCGTGTGCCATGGGGGAGGGTCCCGGGCAGGCTGGCGGGTGCCAGGGGGCGTGGGGGGGGGGAGGGGGGCAGGGGTGTGCCGTGGGGGAGGGTCCCGGGCAGGCTGGCGGGTGCCAGGGCAGCGTGTGCCGTGGGGGAGGGTCCCGGGCAGGCTGGCGGGTGCCAGGGCAGTGTGTGCCGTGGGAGGGGCCAGAGGCACAGGCATAGATTTGGTGCCATGACGGGAGGGGGTTACTCACATGCATGATGTCAGTGCTCTGGTTGAAGATCTTCATGTAGGGCTTCAGGATGTCGAAGTGGAAGGCTGGCGTCAGCATGCGCCGGTGCCGACCCATTTCGGAGCATTGCTCAGCAGCAAACCGTCCCCTGAGATGACAGGCACTCAGCTCAGAGCCCTGGCAGAGATCCCGCAGCCCAGGCCCCCTGCAGCCCGCTGAGTCGCAGCCAGCTGGGGTGCTCAGCGAGAATCAACCTCCCTGGTGCATGTTGGGCAGCACGAGAGTGCGTGCACGTGTGCAATGCGTGCATGGGTGGGGGTGTGAGTGAAGCATGTGTGTGTGTGTTTGTGGGGGCACGTGTGGGCATGAACATGCAGGTGCATGCGTGTGTGTACGTGCAGGTGCGTGGTGGTATGCACACAGAGGTACGTGCGCATGTGACGGCGTGTGTGTGAT